TTTTATCACAATAATAGTATTTTTTGTTCATAATTATTTTAAAAATTATTTTTAACTTTTTAGTTCCATGTGCTTTAAAAGCGTGTTTTTTTAGTTTTTTTAAACTATATTTTTTTCATCATGATGTGTTAATTTTACTTTTTTTTTTGTGAGTCTGTCACTTCTTTTCCTCAGCACTCACTTGACCGATTTTCCTCAACGATACGTCAAAAGATCACAAATTTTATCTAGTTGGAGACATTATCCCCCCCAAAAAAAAATCTCTTTTATCAAAGCTCTCCTTCCCCGTAAATGGTATAAATTCCCCAAAAAATTATGATTTTTAAAATCAGTAAATTTCTTCACTTTTTAGCTTCGATGCGAAGCTGAGAAGGTATTGGTTTTACTAAGATGTGTTTTTTTTTTTTTTTGTGTCTGTTACCACTTTTTCTCAGCTCTCACCGAACCGATTTCTTTCAATGATACGTCAAAAGATTACAAATCGTATCAAGTCGAAGACATTACCCTCAAAAATTGAAAAAAAATCCCTCGTTCCCCGTAAATGGGGGAAACCTCCAAAAAAATTACAAATTTAAAAATCGCTAATTTTCAAAAATTTTTCAATTTTTTTTACTAAAAACTGCCATAACTTTTTTAAAAATGAATAAATCAATATAACTTTTTTTTATATAAATGCATGATATCATTACCTTTCATTTGGTATATTTTTTTGTTATATCTGATCCTTTAACTGTCCACAGGGGGGGATTCAAAATGACAACTTTTTCACAAAAAATTGGCTTTTTCAACTTAAATTTTGAAAGTGTTTCGGAAAGTCTGACACTTTTATATATATCTTAAATTAAAGCTAATGTAATATACTTTATTATTGAAAAAAAAAAATTTCGGACTTTATTTTGTCTTCACGGTGAAAATGGCTACCAAATGCTATTATTGTGTGAAAATTCTCGATTTTATTTTTTACATTTTTAACTTAATAATGCTATAACTTATTGAAAAGTGTATGGATCAACATAATTTTTTTATGAGAAATAATATTTCTTAATAATCCATTTTTCATTCGACATACTTTATCTTAATCAAGATATTAATAAGGAACTAGCAGAACATGTAGCTTGTAGATTTTGGAATAATCCACCAATTTTTTAAATTTAAACACTATCTAAAGATTTGCATCGAAGCGTTTTTTATGATAGTGATTTTAATCACTGTCAGATATCATTATACTTGATCCAACTATGCCACGTCACCACTGTGCCGCGACCCC